ATACTTATTTAGGTTGCTGAAAGATTAATTAGACATTTATAGCAATTTAATTTGTCATATGTGCAGGTATTTATATAGGTTCGGCTTCGCATTTTTGTGTTTATTTTTTACATTGAATAGTATTGAAGATTATAATAATTGAAGCGAAGCGCCGGCTAAAAGCTCCACATATAGTTTAAAGTATAAAGCATATGTCAAATCGTTTGTCAATTATGCTATGAGTTGAGTACACCACAAAATTTTAAACATAATATTTATCCAAACATAAAAGAGTGAGAAAGCCATGCTTAAGCTAAATGCATCAGGCCCAGGTAGATTTTGGCTCCGCTAACTAAATTTCCTAGACTGTTGATGTAATGTTCACCTTGACATTATCAAAATTTATCACACAATCACAATAAACAATCATAATTAAAAAGAAGGATTGCTCTTAAGCTCACATTATATATATAAGAGTTAAAACTAATAATCTTTAAAAATAATTATGGAATATTTGGGCTCCTATAAAAACCCTTCAAATTTGTAGTTTGAGCTCAAACTTAATAATTTATAAAGGTATTGAAAGTATGGAAAAGTTTTGGGAAGCAAAACACTTCAAAACAGGGCCAAATATGTCTTTTTTAAATGTTTTGGTCCATGCACCGTGGCATGTAGCACAGAAAAGTAAGTTTTCTCGTTGTACCGTGCGCCACGGCGCATGTGTCCATGACAGCTTTTCTGGACGAACTTCAAAACACGCGCCATTTTTGCATTCGATGTTCGATTGAAGTGATTCAAGCACCCACGCGAAGCTTATTTGATAAGCTAACTAATAGTATAATTTTCATTATGATCTAACACCGTATGAGAATTTTAGACACTCGGATGTAAAAGTCAGTTTTAAAGCAATTTTCAACCATCCAAGTACCAAAAACTCATAACTTATACCATTAACTCATTGTGAGGCTTGAACCAAGTTTAATGGACCAAAATACATTTGAGTGAACATTCAAACACAAAAAAACATACCAAACACAAAATTTGACCACTCAATGGCCATTTCACTCAATATGGCCGGAATACCAAAACAACACAATATATACTATTTGGCTTTTATTACTACATAATACATTGTTACCATATAGATAAAACATTTCTTGCACTTATATTAGTATTTTAGCTTGTCACCATAAAAATTACCACATATTCACATCATGTATAATATTGAGCTAAAATACAAAATAACATAGTGTGAAACAAGTGCAACCAATCAAAATAAAATGCATTCCTAGTTGAGAATATATAATCTCATCTATCTAAGTTTATGTATATGACTCAAAATAAAATCGAGCTTTATAATGAGATTGTAGCTAGTATGCTAGCCCTTGCCCAATTCCTTCACTGGCTCAATCTCATTGGTAGAACCTGTAAAATGATAACCATGGGGTGAAATAAAAATCTCAGTAACTAAGATAATCTACATTATTGATTAACATGTTAAATTATAGACAAGCCTTAAATCAAGTAAAATAAGCACAACACATAAAATTACCACAAATTACATGCATGGTCCCTAACCATCCAGTCCTCTAATACTCTCGACCGAACTGGTAGGCTATTTTACAAAACCAAACCACATGTATGGTCTCCAAGCTCACTATTCATGGTAAGACTACCTAGACAAGGTGTCCTAAACCATTTCTGGACTATCGGTTCCCCATTATAAGTAATTAGGGTATCGTTATTCTAACACCGCATCCTACGAACGCTAAGGAGCATATTATCTAACTTCACACCCTTTTGGGTACTAAGAAGAGTAAATCTCCAACATCGCACCCATTTTCGGGCATTAAGGAGAGTAAATGCTGCGCCTGGCCTCCCGAGGTGCCAGCAATGCCATATAGACTTAGTCTTCACTACTCCACTAGGGTGACCTCCTACCCTCTAATATGTCACATTTTATTATATATCTCTACTTGACTATGCATAAATAACTTTCCCAACAAATATAACAAATCTTATCATTTACTTCAAAAATATAGAATTTCACAAACCAATACTCCACTCATTTTCTAAAATAGTTAACCTTTAAAGAATTTATACATATATACTCAACAAATGATAGAAAAACAACTTGAGAATAACTTATACAAGGTAATAAATAATATAAATTATTTAGTTACCTCAACCCTTTTGTTACTAAAAGGGTTACCCGTGATACTAAATCTCTTCTTGTGTCAAGGTAAGTCTTCCTACACCATAATTTACATCAACAAGTACTATATGTTAATTTTTAATTAACACAAACACTATTAGTTACCAATAACTTCTCAATTCTCATACTTCTCACTCATATTCTCAACAAAAAGGCTTGTTAAAATTAGAATTTGTTCAAACAATCCCTTCAAACCTCCCTATAACTCTCTCATAACATAACACTTAAGATCTCAACTTATCACACTTCAAAACCCTATGATCAAGTTAGGGCTTGATCTAACTTTCATCAAATAATAAAGTAGCTTCATATTACCACATATCTAAGATTAATAAACCTAAATCAAACCTTTAGAGTCAATATAAACCTTCAAAATATAGACTTATGACTTAATCCAATCAGAGCAAATTCTTATTCTTCCAAATCCTATGAAAAATGAGATGAAAAGGTAGAGGAGAAAGGTAGAAAACTTATTCAAGAGTTTGAAGGCTCAATTTATCTTTAAAATTTTTTCAAAATGATGCCCTAGTAGTGCCCAAAGTTGCCCCCTTCGTGCTCTAAATTTTCCACCACAAAAACTGACTTTTTCTAATGATTTTCGAACATTTAATCTATTTGATGTGCCGTGCGCCGCAGCGCACGCCATGCAAGTCACGGCTCACGACGCAGTGAGCAAAATATTGATTTTGCTCTCCCCGATGTCACCCGACTTGATCCAACTTTCATCCTAACTTAATTTAAAGCCAAATATGATCCAAAAATCTAATTAGGAACTCAAAAATATATTTAAATAAATTAATCATATTTTTAACTAATTTATCCCTTAATTAGTTATTTTTTGCCAGATTTAAAGTTTTCAAATGTTACAGTTGACTATTGCAATACAAAAAGTCATGTTTGCTTATTAAAATAAAATGAAATGGAATAGATTAAAAAAATCAAAATAAAATGAGCTAAATCATCTTTTTTCTATGTTAAGTATGATAAAATTAATTAATATATACTAAAAAGGTGAGAATCATCACACCCTTCAAAAATAACATGAATCATGATTCTCAACCTCATGAACTAAATCACTTCTCTCCCTTATGAATGTGCTCACCTATCTCCTTTAATCATTTTATTTTTATCTTTATTTTTTTAATTCATTCCATTCTAGTAAATGAATGTGACTTAAATTACTCATAAAAGGAATAGAAATTATCAATAAAGAAAAGTAGAACTGATCAGGGGCTAGTTGACCCATCCCTTTAGCTCAATCTGAGTAATGCCTTCAGTAATTAAGTTAACCGGGCAAGCGGTGCAAGTTCAGATGTATCAATAATGTCGGTGGTGAAAAAAGGTAATTTCACATAAATAAGTCCATTTGATAAAAGTGACGGCCCAAATTGAAGCCCGATATGTTGTCGGAGCTTGGGAGTGACTCTATTCTGCGATATTGGAAGACTAGGCCCAACATTTGACTTTCAGACTAGCCCAAAAACCATTAATTTGATTTCCTTATGACACGGCCGTAGGTGATTAAAACAAAGGAACAAAAGTGTCTACGAAAAGATGGATGCCTCCTTTTCTCTATGCCTATTTGTAAGTATTGGCTAATGTGTAGTATTTGGATTTAGTGGGTAGTTTAAGTATATTCACTTAATGAATGTTTCATGTGATAAAATAGTGACAGCTTAATTTAATTGAATGGTTGTCAATAATTTTATCATATAATATTTAAAAAATATTAAATCTTAAATCTTTGAAAATAAATGACATCATAAATAAGGAATGTTGTAATCGTATTGATTGTTTTAAATTTTGTTATGAAAATATATTTTAATAATTTTTAAATATTAATGAAATTTAACGGCTATAAATAAAATACTCATTAAGCTATTTATTTTGATATTTGTGACAATCTGTAGGATCATGGGTCTGTTTGGGCTGTCACTCTCTCCTCACCCAACAAGTGACCTCTTTAGTTTTTGGATTGTGTCAATTTGCTTAAAACACAAGGTGAACATTGACTTAATTATCCTCATATATATTATAAGCATGCACTATTATAGAATTAATTAAATATGACACTTCATACTTGTTACTTATTTAAAATAAGTGACAAATAAATAGAGGCAAAAAAAAATATTTAATGATTATTTTAAATAAGTGTCAAGTATTAAATACATATTTAACAGTTATTTATATAAATACTATTTGATGGTTATTTATTATTAAATATATATATAAATTTATTTATTTGATGTATGCTATTAAATAAGAGTCAAATATTTAAAATATTTATTTATCATTTATTTATAAACAAGGGTCAAATAAACATTACGTGATGCTTTTTTATTTAACCGTCAAATTTATCCCTCTTTAATTATTTTCATCAAAGATCTCATCCTCAATTCCTCACCTCGACGGCACTACCCCTCCCTTCATATCCACCCTGTCCTCCTTACTTCCTTGCTTCATCACCCTCTCCTCCTCACTCCCTTCTTCGATGTAAAGCCTAAACCCTAGCTGCTTCCATTCTTTGAATCTATACATCAAAACCCTTGCCTTCTTTTCTGAGGTAAACTCCTTCCCACATCCTCAATCTGATAGATATCACTTGTTTTTTGATTGATTTTGATGCGTTTATATGAACTTGCTTCTTTGGTGCTTCCTTTGAATTCCTCTGTTTTTTATATGCTTTATCGTTGTTTGATAAATTTAATATCCCTTATAAAGCTTCCCTCATCATTCATTCTTTTGCTTCTCTCCGGTGCTTCATTGTTTTGTTTTATCTCATTCGCTCCCTTTGAGCCACCTGGAGGGTCGTTTACACCATCGACCAGGAGGAGGAGGCTCACAAGAACGAGGACCTTGTTCCTCTTGTTGAGAATTATAGATCTAAGGTCGATTCCGAGCTGTCCAAGGTGGGTGATAATATCTTGAAGCTGTTGGACTCCAATCTGATTCCCTCCACTTCTGCTAGTGGGCTGAGGATATTGTTTCATTTTGCAAGGCTGCGCAGGTAATCATTCTCTCTTATTACCTTTGATATTCTACTTTCAGTTTTGAGAGTCCTGAGGTGAAAAGTATTATTTTGTTTTTTCACTTCCCAAATTTGGTTTATCAAATAGTCAAAATGCCTTCACGGGTCTTGTTGGCATTGGATTATCAAAGATGTAGAAGGTTGCATTTGAAACTACGGTGAAGAAAATGAGAAAGTGGTTTTTATTTTAGAATTGGAGAGTTCCAACATTTCATTTTATTTTTTAGTTTCAAACACCATTCAAACCGACATTATGAGATTCACAAGCAAACTATTTGAGGCATTAACTCTTAAATGATTGATCTAACAAACCTTCAAACCCTGTATCAGATGAATTATTGGTGGGTCTAATAGTTAATCAATAGTATGCTATCGTTTTTACCATTAGTTGAAGAACAGAGCTTGAAAGGATAAAAAGCGAAAACACGAGAGAAAATAATTGGAGAGAATGACTTCACATGTGGAATAATATTATATTACTATATATAAAGCCACATCATAATCGACAAAGTGGCTTGGAGGGTACTTAAATATTTTAAATTACTTAAATCTTCACATGTGGAATAATTCAAGAAACTGAATTCACATGCAGAAAGCTTAATAAAAGACATATTTTGAAATAGGGGGAGTGCGACATAGTGCAGTGAGGTGCAAATTACAAGTTGATGAGGTGGGAGTGGGGACCATCCTGCTGTGTATTGATTTCAAAATGTGATAATAAAAGGAAATAAGCATTAACGTATAGGACCACTTCCTCAATTCTTGTTCTTAAGAACAATCTGCTGCGACCACAATGAGGCATTGGACATGGTGAGTTAGTTTTGGTTTTTATCGCCCACCTTATGTAACTTTTCATTTAGTTGTAGCTTATCTATCCCAAAAGGAGGGAAACTAGTTTTAAGATTAACTCATGCATGCATTCCAAGTCTTGTACAGGTATTGATCCAACTAAATGACAGTCTCTGTCTATGTAACAATGTCTGGTGCAGATCATTAAAATTATCAATAGATGTCAAGGTGTGATGTGTCTGATTCTATGTCTTTCAATATATATTATTTATTTTTACTTTTCAGTTTCTGGAAATTAAAGTTTCATTCTATATTGGCTTCATGAATGAAGATCATTTTTCACTGACATAATTTAGCACAAATGCTTGCATACATGACCTCTCTATGCATGTGTTGTTGGTGCAGTACTAGAGACATTGAATGGTTAGTGGAAAACTCAAAACACTAATATTACAAGTATTGGTCAAATCTAGTTAGGTTTATCACCGTTTAAAGATGATCTTGGTGAAATTTGTATTAGATTACAACAACAACAAACCTTATCCCATTAGGTGGAGTCGGCTGCATGAATTATATGACACCATTATACTTAATCATTTATTAAGTTTTAAGAATATTGTTAATTAAAAGGTTTCACTCAACAACCTCCAAAAATATTTTCTTCAGTCCTCCTTTACCTTTTTTGACAGGGTTTAAAGTCATCTATTCCACTATCCTCACAGGTACCTCCTGTGATTTTTTTTATACATGTCCAAACCATCTTAATTGATTTTTTATCGTTTTTTTTTCAATAAGTGCCACACCCATTTTTTTCATATTTGCTCATTTTGAATTTTGTTTTTACGTGTATATTCACACATCCATTTCAACATTCTCATCTTTGCTATTCCACATTAATGCTTTTGTAATCTCGATAAAGTCCAACATTCACTGCCATATAAAATTTCCTTTAGCCTTTCTCCAATTAAACCACCCCGCTTATATCCTATGTGTAATATCTCTATCAATGCCTCCATTTTGCTGAATAATCGCTCTCAAATATCAAAACTTTTTCACTTGAGATATGATCTAATCACCCAATTTCACTTTCAAGTTACTACTCACTGACCCTTTATCAAAGTTACAATATCAATATTTTGTTTTACTCCTACTCAAGTGGAAACCTTTTAACTTCAATGTCTTCCTCCATAATTCAAGTTTAAAATTTATCTCTTCTCTTGTGTCTGCAATAAGAACTATGTCATCTGTAAAAGGCATGCATTTTGGAATTTTCTCTTGAATATATGCTCAGTGAAAATATCTAATACTAGATCAAATAAATAAGAACTCAAATATGATCTTTGATGCAATCCAATCTTTATAAAAAAAATTTTTATTTCACCACCAAGCGTTCTTATACTAGTTGTTACCCTTTCATACATATCTTATATAGCTCGAATATAGGCAACTCAGACACCCTTCTTTTCCAAAGCCTTCCAAAGTACTTTTCTCAAAATATGATCATAAGCTTGTGTATTATTTAAATTATCTTGTGTATTATTTATGGATGCTAGCTATAAATGGACATGTCAAAAGTGAACGAACAATGGCTTATTATGATTCTTATTATTTGAGATTGTCATTGAACTTGCAAACTTTTATGAAACCTATATCTATTAGTTGTCAAATCTTTTAAATGTTAATGGGTGAATGTTAAGCAGTCGTTTAATCTTTTCTCGTTTCAGGCTTGGAGGCACTAATTTTGGGAGCATTGTGAGAATCATGGTATGTAATATTTTTAACAAATTAAAGATAATTACTATTCACAATATCAAAGATAGTTAAGCATTATCCATATTTCTAACAAATCTAACTTCTAACATCTTTATGTAGAGGGCAATTACCTTGGTATATTTGTTAATTATTGTTTTGTCTTATTTAATGCTTTCAGAAGGAGCTTGTAAGTGTGGACTCATCAAAGACAACAAAATAAACTCAGAGACGAGTTGTTAGACTTGGAGTACTTTTACCCACATTTTTTCCCAAATATTGTGTCCAATGTAGGAAGAAGATTGATAAAAAAGTGTCAAGCATTAATCAAAGTTGAGGTCTAATGAAGAACAAATCACGGGAAGACTAATTACATGAGATTACTATTTCAAACACATTTATGAGTTGTATTCTTATGGATCTGTTTTAATTAAGTATTATATTGCGTTTGGTGGAATTGGCGAGTAAATTCAAATTATATATTAATAATTGTAATGTTTTCATGATTAATAATAGTTTGTTGCTATATTATGATGAAACAATTTTTAATTTGATTTTTGCATTTTTAATATTAAAAATAAAAAATAACTACAATGAAAATTAATGAGGTTATTTTATTTGACCTTTATTTTAAATAAGTGTCAAATGAGATCACTTTGTTTGACCTTTATTTTAAACGAGCATCAAATAAAGCTACTTTATTTTACAATTCTTTTAAGCAAGGGTCATATGAGGTCTTTTTATTTGACAATATGTGATGATTATTTTAAAATAATTGTTAAATATTGCTTTTTGAAATTGAACAAATGTAAGATTTGATGGTTATATTCAAATAATTGTCAAGTAAAGTCCCCCTCATTTGATGAATCAAATAGGGGGACATTTGATATATAATACTACTTTATTTGACAGTTAATAGGCAAAAGTAATCGTCAAGTAAGAAGTTTTTTCTTTTTTTTTTTTGGTAGCAGTGATGTAATGAGTAAAATTGTAGTTTTATATTACAAAAGGTTTTACATTTTTTAACGTAATATGTACATTCAGATGGGAGAAGTTTTCTCTGTATATATTAAAGTGGTAGAAGAGGTTGACACAATTTTTGAAGTGAAAAAAAAAAAAAAAAATCGAAGGTGATTGGCATCAATTTGCATTTATATTATTTTTGAGTATTTTTAATGGTCAGCGTGCATGCCTAAAGTCTTAAGTTCTCCAGATTATTTTTAAATTTGATTGATAAGCATTAACTATCTAGAAGAATCATGTGATTCATAAGTACTATCAATGGTATATTTGATAAATTGTTCAAGTACATACATCTCAAAATATCGCCATAACAAGCTGATTTTTTTTTTTTTTGGTGGATGACAGAAAGTAATAACTTGCTTGTAGTTACAAATCAGATACAGCTACCAAGGCAGACGCCCATGGTAGCTGCGGATGTACTGGTTACTTTATTTCCTTATTAGGGGATTCACCGGTATCATGGAGCACAAAAGTAGCAAAGTGTGGTAGCGAGGTCATATACTGAAGCTGAATAGAGCCACGGTAATCAATAATCATGGTTGGCGAAGCAATTTAATATTGCCAAGATGATTACTTAATTGCTGAAATACAAGCACCGCAGATAAACCCAACGCCACTACACATTCTACCCTCTGATATTCAAGACGCTTTACACATAGCCATGAATCCAGTTTCTCACGTGCAAACCAAACATGTTAAAATGGATTGTCAATTACTTCGGAAGGGAAAGGAACCGGTCCAAGGAAATCATGCCACGTAAGATATACATGGACAGGAGATCAACTGTATCATTGAGCACAAGGTACGTAAAACTGGACCGGTCATTAAACTGATCATGACACTGGGTCACGGGTTAGTGGTTCAATCTCGATTGAACCGGGGTTGAATCGGTGGCAAACTGGTCATGATTAAAATAATACAATTTAAATAACAAGACATTAATTATAAAAACATTCAACCAAATCTAATCACTCAAAAGTCTAACAATAATAAAATACTATATTTTTGAACTTAGCATGCTCTGCCTTTAATTTTTATTTTTTGACTTCAATTTTACTTTTTTTTGTTATCTTACTTCCTAACTCAGGGCTCTGAAAAATTAAAAATAAAAAAAATAAAAAACGACGTCATTTTGGAAGTAAAAGTTTGAAAAAATAATAACCCGGTTAACCCGGTCAACCCACTGGGTTGTTCGGGTTATACCGGGTTGACCGATCTATATTGGTTTACTCTCTCACCGGGTTAAGGATAAACTCGGATCGGATAAGGAATCAGGTCATCAATTTTTGAATTGACCCAATTGATCCGGTCTGGTTTTCAATACATGGGTTTATTATTTATATCCATCGCTCCCCAATAACCTTTGTGAACATATTATTAGTTATGAGATATTAACGATACTGTCGCCGAATTCTTTAATATACACGAGTTTATGGCTGTTTTTCTGAATCAGATCAACCGCATCCCATGGATTTTGGAGATCCGCGCTCTGAGCTGTGGGAATTTTGTTTTTTATGTTTTGATATGATTTGACCTTATTGTTTTCCAGTTTGCACAGTCATACTTGTGGCCAATGAGATGAACAAGGGCCATGCATTATTACCTATGGACCAAGATTTACAATGTTGAGTTATTTACTTATTTACCTTCATAAAAAAATTCATTTGTTACGCCAAAAAAATAAAAAGAAAAATGAATCCGTTGGTCTTATAATGTCACTCATTTTGTAACCAAGTTCCAAAAGATTAGGAAATATAAGGAAAATGTGTGAAAATAGCATAAATTTTGAAAACACAAAAAAAAAAAATCTTTTGGATTGATTGAGCACAAATGTCCTCTTATGACAAGTAATTATCTTTGGTTGAATATTAAATGTAAATATTTCCTATAGTAGGGATTCAAAGCTTGGTTTGTTATGTTTTGAGAGAATAATCCTTTAATTTTTTTCATGTGATTCAACCTCCTTAATTAAAAAGAAATTAACTCAAATGAGTATCAATTTTTTCATGATATTCTTTAGGTCCCGTTTAGTTACTAAAAAAGATTATAATAAAATTTATTATAAAATAAAGATAAAAATAAAATGATCAAAAAAAATAAGTAAATTACATTTATAAAGAAAATGAATAATTAGTTCATTGAATTGGAAATAATGATTCATTAAATTTTTTAAGGACATGATTTTTATATTTATAATATATTAATATATATTAATGATTTTTATTATATTCATTAAGGGGAAGAAGGGTGATTTAATGGATTTTTATTTAAATTTTTTAATATATCCATTCCATTCGGGGTCTACAGAAAATATTATCACCGACACAACCCCGTTGTCAATCGTAATCACGTGCCCTATCTTCCATCCCCCATTCTATTTACTCATTTTATACGCCTCGCCATCCTCCGTCTGGCGTTCATGGCTGAAAGACCAAGACGAAGAAAAAGATGAGAGCAAAAGAAAAGCGTGAATCTGAAAACCCCCATGTGCTGATATTTCCACTACCGTGGCAAGGTCATGTTAACACCATGCTCCCCCTGGCAGAGCTTCTCGCACTTTCCGACGTCCACGTCACCTTTCTCTGCACCCACCGCTTCCTCCGTTTCGCCGGCCACATCAGAGCTCGTCATCCCATTCTTGCCTTCGAGATCTACGTTGACCGCGTTACCGACCCCCCGGTATTCGGAGGCAACATAGATGAATTCTTCAACGGCGTAAAGTTTCAGGGGAAGCTCAAGTTGAGAGAGCTATGCTTGGAGCATTCTGGAAAACCCAGGGTCAACCGCATTAGAGCGGATACCTTGGTCGGAGGGCCACCTCCGACCTTTGAGACCAGCTCGGAATACCCATAATTTATTTCCGTACCGGCAGTGCCTGCAATTTCTGGCCATTTTTTTGTGTTCCAATGCTACTTCAGAGCAACGAACTTCCAACTAGAGGTATATATACTCTTCATCTGTGACATAAATTGGGAAATAAACTAAAGAAAATAAGAAGAAGATATCCGATCAAATAAACTTGCTCGAACATGCATTTATCTTATTGTAATTTCCATCTAAAGGGGAAGAAGACATTGATCGCGTGATAACAGCAATTCAAGGTATGAAAAACTTAGTTCGATGTCGGGATCTTCCATCTTCTTCTCTAGGAAGCCTCGGTACTGGTTGTTTTGCTCTAGACAATATGGTATTCCTGGCCAACCAATCACTTCGAGGGGAAGCTCTGATTTTGAACACTTTTGAAGACTTAGAAGGTCCTGTGCTCTCCGAATTACGCCAGCGCTTTCCCAAACTCTACACCTTAGGTCCTCTCCACGAACACCTAAACTTCAGATCCGAAACGGCGTCGTCGGGGGAACAGCCTCCACCCTCCTCAAATAGTCTCTATGAAGTAGAGAGAAACTGCATGAGATGGCTCGATGCTCAGCCCCCGAAGTCAGTGATGTACGTGTGCTTTGGTAGCATAATTGTTTTGACGAGGGATCAACTCATGGAGATATGGCACGGTCTGGTGAATAGCAAGATGAAGTTCTTGTGGGTGATCCAACCCGATATGGTGGCTGGAAAGGATCGAGAGGATCTGCCGATGGAGCTGGCGGAAGGAATGAAAGAGGGGGGTGTATCGTGAAGTGGGCCCCGCAAAAAAAGGTCCTCGAACGCGCGGCGGTCGGCGGCTTCATGACACACAGTGGATCGAACTCGACGTTGGAGAGTATGGTGGCCGGAGTTCCGATGATATGCTGGCCTTTCTTCGGCGACCAAATGATAAATAGCAGGTACGTGAGTGAGGTGTGGAAGATAGGGTTAGATATGGGGAAAGGTTGTGACAGAAAGGTGGTGAAGAAAATGGTGAATGATCTCATGGTGCAGAGGAGGCAAGAGTTTCAGAAATCAGCACAAGCATTGGCAGCCTTGGCCAAGAACAGTGTGCGGGGAGGAGGATCCTCGTACTCTAATTTCGATCGTTTTATTGAGTATTTGAAGTCAATTTGTTGAGGAACATTAATATATTTTTTTCATTCTTGCAGTGACAATGTTCATTTTTCTGTCAGATTTATAAATTTGTATTGTGTTTTGAAATTGTTATTCTCTTTATTATTGTTAAATTTACGTTTGACTGCTTCCAATTACAAATAAACACAATTGTGATGCAAGCTAAGTTTGTTCTCTTCCAAGCCGCTCTCTGTGCTTAACGAAATATATGGAGTTTGCAATCTCATGCGTGCTTAAATGTAGAATCTTTTCTTCTCTCATTTTTATTTCGTGTCAACTGAAAATTATTATTCGCATCATATAGTTAAAGTTAACTTTGTTCTTATTCATAATTTATGTAATAAATATTAAAACAAAATAAAATAAATAAATACTGGATAACGTCATCAATTTGTTGAGGACAACTTTTTAGACTCTTTCTTCGACTATGTTTATTGTGTGTGTGTGTGTGTGTGTGTGTCTCCTTCCTCGATCTACACTCCCAAGCAACAAGAAACGTGCTTGTGAATAATATGGGTTTCTCTGGATATTTGCAAATCAAGTAATTAGTTATATAAGAAAAAATCATAGGGGGAGAAAAGAAATGAAAACTGAGGCTTGTGAATGATATTAAGAACTGAATTCTTTTTCTGAATGAAAATTAAATTAGTCATACAAAAAACTCATTTAGTTATTTCTCTACCATGCAAAATATTTATTGCTTATAATAGTGATGAATAGCAACATTTAAAAAACTGTTAGCTTATTCACACATTAATTAAAATTTTCAAAAGTGTTGCAAAGCAAAATATTGTGAAAAGTTACAAATATTAATACTGTGTAATTATGCCCAGAGAAGTTAGAACTGAACCAGTGTGTCCTTGCAAAATAACTGCATGAAGCCACCAAAGATGGCTATGGAGAGATAGATTGTAACTGTTAATTACCAATGTAATAAAAACACCCCGTAAAACCAACGAATCAGTGTTTGGTCGTTTGAAACTAGCCAAAAATTGAACTACTTAACTCCAAACTGGTCAATAAAGGCCTAACTTCCTAGGTGAAGCGCATGTGGTTTGCATGTACGGACCATTCCTTATCCACTTTAGAGTAATTCTTTTACGGAGGACAATTGAGTATCAAAAGAATAAATTAATAATAATTAGATCCTTAATAAAAAATTTTAAAAAAATAAGTTACAAATATCAATTCAATAAATAATTATACATTTAAGAATTTTAATTTTAATAAAATATTTAAATTTCAAATGTTACTCTTTGTTTGAATTGATATTTTTATTTATAATTGTTTGAATTGATATTGACAATTTATTTTTTAATTTTTTTAAAAAGACTTGAATGTTTTTTTTAAATCAAATGGGAACCTAAATGTCATTAACCTGATCTTTCAGGATTTTACTATCATGATTCTCCCTTCTTTCTTTATCTTGATCATGGGCCTATGCCGAATACCAAAGCACGGTTTTTGTGGTCCAAAAATAGGAGTTGCTATTCCTTTTTTTTTTTTTTTTTGGGTTAATGGAGTTGCGATGCTTTATTTGAAGAACTAATCCACAAATTATGTGCCCCTTGAAAAAATTAAAAAAACACTGTACATGTATGTCTTATTCTAAAATCACATTTATCTCATAAGTTATTATTATCTGTTTTTCAATTTAATTTTTTAATTATCCTTAAAAGTTTATCCAAAAACTATATGATCTATTTTATAAATCATGATTTTTGGTTTATAATTGATTTTTGCATATTTAGGGATGTTTAGATATTTTTTAAAAAAACCATTATTAATTTTAGGTTTGTAATTGATTTTGATATGTAAGAGATGTGTTTAGATATATTTTTACAAAATTATAATTTTAACTTCTAAAATTGATAATGTTATCTATCCAAATATGAACAGAAGTGTTTGGATAAATTTTCATAAAACCATGATTTTAATCTCCAAATTTGATTATTTTATGTATCCAAACATATACTTTCAATTTTACCGAAATAAATTTCATAAAATAATATCCAAACATATTCATGTTATGTTGTAATTTTACCCAACTAAAATCCAAATGCATCCAAAATAATCAATATGATAGCAAAGATATTGAATTATAATAATAAATTGGAGAAAAAATTATAATTTAGGAAAAGCATATTCATCTTATGTTATAATTGTTTCTTCAACATTGATAAGCTATCAATATTATGCTAAATAAAAAATATATATCTTACAAAGTTATTTTTCAAGCATTTTCATAGGCTTTAATTAATCATGGATACATTGTTGTTCATATCTTTAACATTCCAAAATTTAAAATAGATTAATTAAAGGGTAAAGGGAAAAAAATATCTACAAAGTGGTCAGTCAAGGGTACCCAATAACTTAAAGTGAGGAAAATAGCAAAATACTCATAATGTTACATGAATGGATGCAAAATTGATCAAATTGTTAACTTTTCCCTAACGCCGTTGGTTTTCAGTGTTAAATACTGACTGTGCATATCACGTAAACTAAAAAAGAGGAAAAAATATCCATAAAGTCGTCGGCCAAGAGCATCCAATAACATAAAATGAGAAAAAAGAGCAAAAATACTCATAACATTACCAGAGTTAGTACAAAAATGACTAATCTATCAAATCCCATAAATGTTGATCATTTAGCTGACACCAAAGTAGAAGTTGATCATTTTTTTACTAACGTGGACAAAAAAATATTCCCAAGTGAAATTCTATAGAGGTTAATTAGTCATCGCATGAATATCATTTCAAAAATGTAATTTTGACTGAACATCAAATTAAATCGCTTGGTTCTTTGTAGTGATGGTAAAAATCATTTGAAAATTTTGAACACACCATGAATAAAATTACTTAAATTTGTGACAATGTTCTTAAGGTATAGGGTAGCATAGAAGATATGGTTAATCTCAATCTTCAATTGTATACAACTTATGTCATTGTATTGAGAGAGGAAGGGGGTAGGATACGTGGCAATGGAAGAAAACCATGTGATATGGATTTTGACAGATTGGTCACTATTGTATCAACTAAAATAATATTATAAGTACTCATATGATCATCAATCAACTTTTATAGAAATTCACTTGAGAATATTTTTTTTATATCTATAAAAAAATAATCAACTTCCGCTTAGGTATTAACTAAACGGTTAACATTTAAAGGATTTGATGGATTAATCACTTTTGTACCAACTCTAATAACGTTATGAGCATTTTTGCCCTTTTTCTCATTTTAGGCTATTAGATGCTCCTTATTAACAACTTCATAGATTTTTTTGCCTCTTTTTTAGTTCACGTTTGTAAAGATTGACACGTGACATGCACTGTAACATCCAACTTGACATTACCAAAATAACACTCTAACACATCGTTGTAATAACTAAGATTAATTAAAATCTTTAAGTAAAGTCATTACCACCCAAAGGTTTAGAAATAAATAGTTTAAATAATGGGATATCAAAAAAAACCTTTTTTGAAAAGACGTTTGAGCTCAAACTATAATTAAAACAAGTTACATAAAATAATGGAAGTAAGAAAGTCAATTAACATCTTAAACAAGCACTAAAAGAAACATTTCTGATTGCCCTAAAAGTGCTCCATCCGCTGCGACGAATGGCATAGAGAACCTAAGGTTCTTGCTATGCAATATGCCACAACACATTGTTGCTATCTGTCATGATAGCACTTTGGGTTTAAGTTTCAAAGCATGTCATTTTGCCATCTGACATCTAATTCAAGTGCCCACACATCGTTGTTTAGACCCTCTAGTTATTGCCACTGGTCTCACACCTAAACATTCAACCATTTAAAATTGACACCAGAACCCAATTTGGTCCATTTTTAATTTCAAACA